GTCCATGTGCAAAGTAATTTTCATGTTAAGATTAAAAATACTATTCTTCATCTCAAAAGTATCAAACTTCATTTGTGTAATATCTAAAACCTCCTAAATACATTTCATTATTTTCTCTACCCTAATTCTATACAAGGTTGGTCAATTTGGCCAACTCCATAACCACCAAAAAAAAAAAAAAAAAGGGAAATGAATCTAAATTACCCATTTTACTTTCTAGACTTCAAATTGTAACATGAAACTACATTCATTTATCCTAGCTTTAAACTTCTAACAGTATACCTGTATTTATAATTAAATTTTATTGTTTTATAGCCTTTTGAACAGCGTCTAACTACTATGCACACCATTATAAGTTGTAACTCACTTGGGGAACATGGAGCTCACAAGCCCATTGCAAAAGGGTTAAGTGATATCATAAATGTGTTTCAGTTATTTTTTAACTGCATTTCTGATGTGTTTTACAATTAATATAAAATTTTAAATAAATGCAAAAACACAATTGTACAACTCATACCTTCTAAAGTGTGCACTAGTTTTCCAGTTGAAATATCAAAGACCTTGATAATTCCATCAATGGCTCCACTAGCAATATATTTCCCATCTGGACTCTTTAAAGTGTTAAAACAAAAGGTATATTTAATGCTTTGAATAACATTAAAAAATAGATATTCTTATATTATTATTGAAATGCATTTACACAAAGTATAATACTTCAATTTTATCTAGTATCCACTTATATTTTATGTTCTCAATTAATCAAATTGCATGAAACATAGGACAATTATACATAGCATCTAGCTTTTGCTTTAAAATATTAATATACTTTGATTTAGTATTTCTACAATTTTTTAGGTTTGGAAGTTTTAAAAATTTTGTTACGAGACATTGTTTTGAATGAACATTAAAATAGTTCCTTTCATCTTAGAATTCCTTTTTTTTATATTATTGATCAGAAGTTCCATTTAAACATTCAGTCAGTTTCAACTTTCTTTGTGTTCGTTAATATATTACTATTGATACTAAATTTTCTCAACTGAAGGAGTCACCACCTTCAACTATAAATCATATAAAACATTCCAAAACCAACAAAGATTTATCCTTGACCAAAGACCCAATCTTTCAAAACAGTGTCTTCATTGCCATTGTCATGCATTTTATCATGAATTGTTGTCAATAATATTCTAGGTCAAGATCAATTTATATCTGATAAATATAGTTTTCAATAAATAGAAAGTTCTTTTATTTGTGTTTGATGTTTGAATATGATAAACTTAACAATATATTCAATAAAAAAACAAAAAACATTTCATCCAAAAAAATTTGTCATCGCTTACCATACTAACCTAACCAAACCTATCTAATGTCTTGTCATAGAATATTCCTGTAGCTTTCAAACATATTTAATCTAACAAAATGAAATTATCAAGACTGGAAAGAATATTCAAACTAAACTATAAAAAAATACCCTGAGCTGTGGTTTATTTCTAAGTGTTGTAAACTTTGTACTAGAATTCTTAGTTTACCCTTATGGGAGCTCCAACTAAGTAATAAGTTGACAAACCACTGCTAAAACCATTATTTTATTCTTAGAGGTTACAATCGCTTCTATTCAATCATTTTTAGTTACTAACTTAATTTTTTTAAAGCTAAGCTTCATTAGTAATTGTTCAGTAATATGATGTGACATCACAAAAGGGAATATGGAAAAATATTCTGATGACTCAAATCCTTATTTATTGAATACTTTTAAGTTCATCATATTCAAACAATATAAATAAATAAAAAGAAACATATAATTTATTGAGAAGAAAGTATGCGTATTATATATAAATGGATTTGGCCAAAAATACTGTTAATAAAGATATTGTTGCTTAGCCTAACATAATGTCATTTTGAAGGGTCAGGTCTCAGGTCACTAATAAGTGTTTCTCAACCATTGCCATGTTTTTGTTTCATAATAGCCAGAAGTGGTGAATAAAGCAATAGGAAAAATAAAGTATCAAAAGAAATGTGTAAATGAAAGTCAATCAACATTCTTATTAACAATAAAAAAATTCTGAGATGAAAGGAAGTATTTGTAATGTTTTTTTTTAAAAACGTGTTTCACAAAACATTTTGGATACTTTGCAACAAAAAATTATAGAAAACTATATCAAATTATATGAATTTTTTTTAAGCTAAAATTATATACTATTCAGTAAGTTTGTTTCAAGTTTCATACAATTTGAATAAGTATTTCTATTGTGAGAAGGGAAAAAAAATCAATGGAAATCAGCTATAACCACCAGATCTGGAAAAGTTTAAATTAACTAAATTTTAAATCTAACACTTTTAAAGTGCCAAAAGTATGTACTTTGTGTGCTTGTGTTTTACTTTCCTTATTTCGAGCAAAGACAAGTAAAATTATAATTTAATTATATGATTATCAACTTTTCATATTCCAAAGTGAAAAGTCTTAAAAAAAAAAAAAATTCCTTTTGTTACAAACATATTAACTCTTTCAACCTGGGCTTGGTCCCTGAGACTGACTTCGTAACCATTTTGTGCTTGTCATAGTTTTCATGCTATAACTTTTAAATTAGTATGCAAATGTTAATGGATTTTGGCAGCTTATCAGTAAACATTACAATGCTTTCATACTCAAAATATCTCATTTTTTTATTAAGTCTTAAAGTTTGTAAAGCAATGTCTCTCTCGTGCCTTTTTTTTTCTTTTCACATCTTATCTATCTATCATGCAAAATAATTTTCATTTTAACATTAAAAATACTTTTATGCATCCAAAAATTTTGAAATTTTACATGTGAAATCTTTATAATGTCTGGATAGTTATGAAACATTTCTTAAGGAAAAACTTTTATATTTTATCTGTTAATTTCAGTAATTAATCTCTATTCAGGTTCAGTAAAGTTGTCCGATCTCACAACCACCATAAAAAATTAAGGGAATAAACATGAATTATGCCTCTAGAATGAAACAAATTATAAC